AAAAAAAAATTTACAAAAACCAAAAATTTAAAAAAAAAAAAACACCGGGAAAAAAAAAAAGGGAAAAAAAAAAAAAAAAAAAAAAAAAACCCTCCTATATCTCAAGTAGAAACGTCAAATTAGGCAAGATGACAGATGTTTTATTTTTTTCACCTTCTTTCCTACCTGCTTTTACTTGTATTTGAATGTGAAACGCTCCTCCATGCAGGGCTCTGCAGTCGATTTCATAAAAAGACACGTTTCCAGCAAAGCATCTGATGACACCAATCTCTGCAACAGGCTCTTCGACGGTAATTATCTCCTGGGCTGTAATGTTTCTTTCACTGTCGGTGCATTCAAGCGCCACAACAAATGTATCAGGATGGCTGTATTTATGTTCGACACGGCTCCTCAACCTGAGAAAATTCACACATTCACAGGCAGAAGAAAGGAGAGACTTTGGTGTGGGCTTTTAGCCTTTTGGGGGAACAAAACGAATTCAAATTATATATGATGAAAAAAGTACTAAAGATGCAAATCAGACTTTTTAAAGATGTGTTCACTTCTTTGTTATTATAAAAGCTATTGATCTCCTGCTTTACATGGGTAAAATGAGTAAAGCTAAACTAATAATACTCTACTTCATTACTGAAACAAAACATTTATTTGTGGAGCACCAATCAAACACGAGGTAATTCAAAGTGCTTTATTTTAAATTAAAAAGTGAACATAAATTAAACTACTATAACTGTATCTCACAATATGAAATAAATATTAAAGTGCAGGACATATTTTCATGTTTGGTGACAACTAAAACCATAATCAAATGTTTTATTAAGTTTTCCAACAAGTTGATTAATTAAACTCAAGTTGGTTCAATGTTTAATGTTTTCACTTGTTCATCTGACAATGATTAGCAATAAATACTGAACACACTATCAAATAAACTGAATAAACATGCAGGGAAATCTCAATAATCCTGGACCACTTAGAGAAATAAGAAGAACGTTTGTCTCCTTTGAAGCTAAATTTATGTGGAGTCTATTAGTCATTTTCATTAGATTTATGCTAAATTCAGACAAGCAGAACAATAGATAAACATATTTGCATAAAATCTCTGGCGAGAGTGAAAAGAAAAACAAGATGAACTGACAGAGGGAAATGCTGACAGCTGTACTTTGACTATACAAGCTGGTAGTTGAAGCAAACTGGAACACTGAGGAGATTTTCTGGGTAGATGATTTTGAGTAAAGAAATCAAAAAGTATCAAATATACATGAAGGATAATCCCATTAACACTGAACATTTGTGCTCATTGGAATTTGTTTTATTAGTCAGTTGTCCGTAGTGAAAGGTTTCATTACTTACCCATAAAGACCATGCAGATGAAAAATGTGTCCGTCTCCAGTCTGTAACTTACAGTTTTCCCACGATGCTTGGACATGCCATTTGATTTTAATGGTGATGTCATCATAAACAGCAGCCACGATCGGCACTGACAATGTGATTACTGAAGATTTAAACAAATATACAAATTGGCATAAAGGGCTCAGAGGCAGAAACTAAACACCAATATTTAAAAGACATGTAGGATCTGATTCATCCTGATATGTTTTATTTTATAAGGAAAAGCATATTTTACAGTAATTTTACAGTAAAATTTTACAGTAAAACAATCGTTGTACTTAAAGTCTTTTGGTTTTTCACATTAAGTACAAAATGTCTGTGTAAAATACCAAATGCTCTGCTTTAGTGTAAGACAGTAAAAGGTATTTCATCACTTCAATCTTTTTGCATCACCAAAGAAAAAAGGAGGAAAGACGTTTAAATATTCCATAAAACTTTAGGTGTAACTGAGACGTTCTGTTTAAAAGAGCATGACACAACGCCAGCAGTCTGAAGTGAATACTGAAGCTGTGGAGGACCTGAACAAAGGTCTCACATATTCTAACTCCACTGAAAAGTCAAACTAAAAGATTTGATCATCTGAAAGCAGCGGCATGATTCTAATTTTAAACAGTTTCATCCCAGTTAACTGTATTTTGTTGCACTTTTCAGACAAATAATCAGAGTGAGTCAAGGAATTTCTGAAACTCCAAACAGAATTTCATTCCAGGCCAGCAGGGGTCTCTAAGGAGTTGGAAAGTTTGCAAATCAGCTGGACTGACAATGAACATGAATGATCTGAAAAATAAAAATAAATAAAATGCAGCTTTATCTATTTCAGTCTTATTTTCTAGACCTAAGAATGCATTAGTCTTGGAAATACTTATACAACAAAGAGGTTTAAAACTGGAATCCCTGCCAGAGTTGAATATTACAGGGTCCTACCATCCTTGCAGTGATAGTCCACAGTCAGGTAGCTCTTCTGCTCAGGGCAAAGGTCATCAAATGAGCCCATGACTTCACTGATTCTGCAGATTTGATGTTCTTCACAATGAGCTGGGAAACACACAAAATCTTTAATCTTACCAAAGTTGCTGAGATAATTATTTGAAAAGGATGAGTTTGAAAGAAATAGAAAAGTAATTAAATCAGACAATAGCACAATTAAAATGCTAACCTCTTCAACTTGTTCCACATTTTGTCATGTTTCAGCTACAAAGGGAAATGTTTTTAATTGGGGTTTCATTTAATGGAGCAACAAAAGTCATGCATAATCATAATGTGCTAGAAAATGGTGCATGGCTTTTTGCATTTGTTTTATAAAGTCTGATATTGTGTCATGTACATTTATTAAGCCCTCCTAAATCACCAAATTTTAAATGCAATTACAGCTACAGATGTGAGTCACACTGTATGACGAATATCAGTGAAGATAAACTGTAAATCTTCCCACAAACTCTAGGTTAGGTTGAGGTCTGGATGTTGACAGGATTCTTCCAACACTGGCTCATGCTTTCATTTAAAATATTTTTCATTAACCTTCAAAGAATAGCTGGGATTCTACAGGGATTAAAGTACATATACACAGGGTTTGATTATTAATTATTTCTAAATTTATTTGGCAGCACAGGATTTTATTTAGCCATACAAGCTTAAAGGAGGCTGAATATGAAATGAACGCCAAAATTTTTTGGAATTCAATTTGGAAAAAAAAACAAAAGTCTGGTTACTTTCTCCAGCCACATCACAATATTGCTACGATCTATAGCACAAAATATCAATGAAATGCACAAATAAAGCTTGTGGTTGTATTGAAGAAAAAACATAAGAAATCTATACAATTTTGCACAGTAGTTTACAGCTACTTTGATAGCTGCAAAATCAAAAATAGCTTTTGCAGCTTTTTTTTTTATTTGTCTGAGGTCTGAAAGATACGGTTCTACAATGGCTCAAATGCAGTTACATTCAGCAGCTTTATTATGTCATATTTATAATTAATTTACACAAAGAATGACACTAAAAGTACCACAGATAATATGGTTTTACATGTTTTTCGTTATCGGCAGATTGGAATCTACTTCCATTTCCATTTTTGAAAAAAAACTTCAACATTTTCTTGCTAAATTTTATTTTAATATTTACTTTAAGTTACATGTTGGTTCTTTTAAAATGACACAAAATATCCTAGAGTAGCTATGTATGTACAATTATAAGTTGTTTTGTAATATAACTGTTGTGGTAGTTGCAGATCCACACAAGTTTTATTTGGTAAAAACGTCTTTGGGTTATGAAGGTTGCAGACCTCTGGTACAGAATATTAGATCAACATTAAGAGCGATGTTCCTGCTGTCCATCTCTATCCTTAATGTCGTCTTTATTCTACTGTAACCCAGCTGAATGAAATGTTTTCAGCTGGTCACACAGAAGCTTGTTATTGATTTACCCCAGGCATTGTTGATAGAAATATTGAGTGTTTTTCTCTTGTGCAAACATTAAGTGAAATGTATTTATCTTCCCTGACAAAAGATGAAATATGAAGATCCTTCACAACTGAGGAAAGCGGGAAGATGAATTCATAGATATTCATCCTCTGTCATCGGTTGCATGCATGAGTCAATATTTTAAATGAGTAGATGGGTATCATTCATGTATTTTAAGTATGAGGCTTTTATGCAACAAAGGTTTTCTTCTGGAAATGTCCTAACGGTCCATTACTCCTTTCGAACATATCCGGCACGGGACAATATGTTATTTGTGATAAGGAGAGCAAACACTACATTCAATGATGGATTGAATTTCCTGTTTGCATCTATCTGGAACCTTTTAAGAGGCATTAAATTGCTGTTTGTTTTTCCATTTTTGAGCTTGGCTGGCTAAATGAGAAGCTATAATTGTTACACAGATAAGATCGGTTTTAGCCTGTCTGGCGTAAAACGCAGGGACAAACATTAACGGCCATTTAAGAATTAATTTATTTGAACCAGACAGATTATGTTTTACCTTTAATGGAGGCCGCCACATTCACCCGGCTGCACCTGTCCTGTGTGAATGTTGGTGTGTAGAACCCGGGTCGACAGTAATGAATGTTGTCGCGACCGAAGACAGCCCCGTCTATCATTAACACTTGACCAGACCTGCACTGCAGAGTGGTGTGGTGACCCAAACATGTGATTCTTCTTCCAGGTTCTGAGAAAAAGAAGAAAAACACCTTCAGGTGGAGGTTAAAGAGTGATTCAGTATGCAGCTTTGCTCAAAGCGTGACTCATCATCCATACCAAACTGGCAGATGAAATGCATGCTTTTGTTGCAGTCTTTTGTGGCTTTCCAGTGAAAGCCTGAGAGTCTAAGCATGAATCCACAAGCTGCATCTGGCTGAGGGCTGCTCTGCCACTTGGAGAAGGTGAGAGGTGAACCGTCCAACCAAGAGAGAGGAGGACCTGACGATGAAGCAAAGTGTTGATGAACATGCAAAAAAGTGAAGGTTGTAAGTCCTGTAGAAGTTCTCTATTTCAGTTCTAAGATTAAAAAGGATAAAAACGTTTGAAAAAACAAAATTGCTGTATTCAAGAATGAGAACCTTTCTTGAATACAATAAGAATGGCTGGTGCATTTTGACGATGTTTATTTTCAGGGATGATTTAAATTGACCCCATTCGTCAGGAGAGTTAAGTTTCTGGGAAAACAACAGCGATGCCTTCTCTAAAGCTAAAGTGAGCACCAGTCTCCCTGGATCAGTTCTTGGAATATTATTTTTCTTTAGGGCGATATGGATGAATGTTTTATTTCCCAGAAAACGTCTGGAATTTAAGATTTGTAGGCCACAGTATATACTAAGGCTCCATGGCTCAACGCGATACTAATGGATTTATTCCTGTTTTTGAAGACACTTTGCATATTTTAAGGTCTTTGAACATGCTGCTGTTGGTTGCTGGTTTGCAAGTACTGCAGAGGATAAGGAGCAATATTGCACCTTAGTGCATTTTCTTCCTTCTAACTATTCTCCCAGACCATACTAAATACAGGTATGGGAAAATACCAGCACAGATTTTATCTGTGCAGGTTTGGAGCTCAAACACAAAGAGGAAGACCAGTCTCATAATAACCTAAATAAAATAAAAATAGTATTGCTATGCAGATTTTCTAAGTTATCAGACTTATTTGACTTTTTTTAGATGAATAAAGCAGGACAAATATGTAAATAAAACCACCTTCTACACTAATTCTGCAAAATTAAAGTTCACGTAATGAAATAAAGAAATAGACAAACAAATTTAAATAATCTTTATAGGCTAAATTGCTACTGCAACACAAAGTACTTATTATCATATTACACAATAATGGACATACATTTTTAAACACTTAATTTAGTAAATGAACATGAATTAATTCAGTTTTAAAATGTGCAAACTAAACTTAGAACTTGTTGAGGGTGAATTTGCACAACACTGAAGGTGGCTTGTAAGTGAATTCATCCAGGAAAAACATATTTTTGAACATTATTTTGAAGTTAAATATTGGATTTGCTAGATTCTTTGAACACTTTGATCTAAGTACAGATATAAAATCTAATATTTTCCTCTAGTGAGACACATGAAGTCAAAGTTGATGTTATTTAAGGACTTCAAACCCAACTGATTTATGTTGTCCTAGAGCAGGATAGTTAATGAATCTTCAGAAAAACCATTGATGACACAGCTGCTGGTAGAGTTCTGTTTACCTTCCTCATTCACAGAAAATTGCGGTTTTGGGGTTCCAGACTGTGCCAGTCCAAGCCACATGTCCTTTTGAGGGTCCAGGTGTCTCTCGAGGAAATTTTGAGTTTCTTTATCTTTGATGTAAGCGAGGTGTCCTCCCCTCTCCTCACACCAATCTTCAGCTCTGTGAAAAGGGAGCTGCTGACCCACAAGCTCAAAGCAGGACCCTTGAAATGCCCTCTGGTCCTGCGGACAGGAAGCTGCAACCCCCACATCATTCTCAACAGAAGGCTGACAGCAGAGTGTCAACAGGACCAGCATGTGCAGAACTGTCCAGCACATCACACCTATTTTCACTTTAAAAACACAAAAGTTTGGTCTCCCTGCCTCTCCGTTAAAGTTTTAGAGGTTTCAGAGCAGTTCCTTTCTCTTCTCTTTCACTCACCTCTGTGACATTCTGCCTTTTAATGGGCCTGACGAGCGTCTCTTGCACATCTTTTCCTGGTTTTTCTGTTTGCCTAACATTCAGAGTCACTCAGAAACCGATGATTGCTTTGCCTTCGTGTACACACGTGAACAAAAGAACCCCACCAGAGCAGTTTCAGTCAGACAACAACAGCGCACAGTAGTTGAGGTTGGGTTTTACTTGTAACTTTACAAGTCAAAGGTTTGCTGTGTTTGTTTTCAGCCTGAGTAATAACAGTTTTCTTTGGAAAGCTCATCTATCACGATGAAAAAAAGCCATAAAAGTGTAATTGTTCTCAATTTATTTATGTGGTAAATTTTATTTTAACAACTCTGTGCTTGTTGGTCCAAATTTTAAAAAGCTCAGCCTATCTTCAGAATGTGTAATAACTGTAGGGTGTAAAAATATTTAAGCTTTAAATGCTTTCCTGTTTTTTTTGTTGTTTTTTTTTACAATACATTGTTCATGTTTTTGATTTGCTATTTATTTTAATCTTATGTTAAAGTCATCTTCAATAAAGCAAAATATTTCTTTGAAAGTTCATTTATTTTGACTCAGTGAAACACATTAAATTGTTTTATAGAATACAGACTGATTTTTTAAGGTCTTTTGTTCAATTATGATGATTTTCCACTTTTTGCTGGTGAAAAATCATATTTTTTTTTGTGGATGATTTTGCTGTCATGTTTTCAGCTGAAAACAAAATAAAAAAAAAGCATTTTAATTTCTAAATGTGGACTTCATGAAAATTGTGTTTAATACCCTTTTTTTTGTTTGAAGTGCTGCTGCCAACAAATTTGTATGTATGCGATGACAATAAATATGATCCATATTTTCTTATCCTTACTTCACTGGAACTCCAGCTCTAGTTGGAGTTTGAACTCAGTTCTTTAGGATAAAAAAGTTGTAGTTCCTTAGAAGTATTTTATGAAATTTTTAAAAAGCACGCCTGGGAACCAATTTACATTTTTGCTCCTTTCTTTGACTTAAAAAGATAAATTGGAACTCCCTTCCAACTTTCAGAGAAAGACACTTTTCATAAAACTAAAAAAAAAATTAAATGGTAGCTTCCAAGTCAACCTTCTATGCCTCTGAGTTTGTTCACTTCTACCGATTTCAATCTCTTAAGCCTGTTTTGTAATGAAAAATATAAGACTAGATTTGTTCCTACTGGAGGTATTAAGCCATGTTTAGTTGAGCTCAGGTTTTTGTAGAACTGCAGAATAAGAGTTTTATCAGCAACAAAACTCTTATTTTAAACTTGTTGGTCAGACAGTATTCGGCTGTGCAGAGGAAATTTAAAGGAACCGAAACGGAAATGTTTTCTTTGACTTTTATTACAATGCTGCATCTATGGAGCTTAATTGGGGCCATATATATATATATATATATATATATATATATATATATATATATATATATATATATATATATATATATAT